GTTGACAAGATGATGTAACGTGTTGAGGTACAGCCTGAGTACTGTGTTAACTGTGATCATTTGAAAATGTCTGAGTTTGTAGTGAACTACCTGGTGTGATAATGTAACAATGTACAATAATCTTGAGTGTTTGGGTACTGATATTACTTGATACTCTTTACCTGTACTGTTTCTGAATTGAATTAATGAAATGATAATATATGATATCCATAATAGGCATTGGTTAGTTGTGAGGGGCGCGGCGGCAGAGTCGGTACAGCGCTCATCCCCTTTCCTGCGGGACGTTAGTTCGATGATGGGGTACTCCCCATCCACTCAGTTATAAATGGGTGCTTAACTTCACAATGGGGGAAGTGAAGGCAGTGAGATCAATGTCAGTCACGTCGTCGCCACCTTGTGCTGCAACCAGTCTGTAACGACCCTATGGGGCCAACTACCATATTGTGATACTACGGTGGTTGGTGTACCGTCTGCAACACACACATTCAGGGTCATTGAAATTTGTATGATCATAAAATAACGTAGTTCAACGAAACACTAGGGAGCCTCTCACCTAACCTAACCTGATACGACACGACAATCTAATCTAGCCTAACCTAACTTAACCTACTTCAACTTAACAATACAGTACATTGATAGTAATTAACATTACACAATGTGAATTAAAAATGACGGGGACTTCCCTGTGTGAAACGAAGAGTAACCTATGGTAGCTGACCTGTCGTAGCTGACCTGTGGTAGCAGATTATGGTGGCTGGTATATGGTAGTGTGTGTGTGTGTGTGTGTGTGTGCGCGCGCGCGCTAGTTGAAGCAACACTGGGTCAGCACAATGCCTTCCTCACTGTTACAACATGACGTGTAACACCGGTAGCTCCTCCCCCCCCCCTTTTGCACTATAACCTGTTAGATGTGTGCTTTACTCTCCCTCCCCTCACTACTGTTTACAGCTATCTCCTGTCACACACCCTCCTGTCTACCCTGTACAGACGCTCCCACCACTGCACCCCTCTGTCCAACATACACTCCTCCCTTTCCTCTTCTGTCACCCATTGTCCCTCCCGGCCGTCCCCTCATTGTTTACACTCACCGTTTCCTACGTCAACTGTATCTTTATAATAAATATTTTACTATTAACAGCGCCACAAGGGAGAGGTTTTGTGATTCTTTTATCTAGAGGCTTCACAAGTAGGTATATATGCCTGTATACTTGGGGATATGTATATTTAGTGGATACATGGATATATGTGTATTTAATGTATACTTGGATATATGTATATTTAATTCAATCGAAAACTAGTCGATGAAACTTGTTGTAACTTTGTCCACTTTCGAGGTAACATAGTGAAGTAACTCCAGGCTAGAGCGGAGAACCAGTACAGCGACGCCGAAGAAACTCAGACAATTATAGGTTATTGAGTTTGCTACCGTAAGGCGGGGTGGAGCTGGTGTAGGTGTCGTGGAGAGTAGCTGCTCAGATAATGGAGGTCAGATTTGATAACTGTTTAGTGTAGGGGTGTGCCTGTGTTTCCCTGTGTGTTCCTGTGTGTTCTTGTGTTTTTCTGTGTGTTCTTGTGTTTTTCTGTGTGTTCTTGTGTTTGTGTTTCTGTGTCAGTGCTGAAGATGACAACACGTCTATGAAGGTTGTCGGTATGTGTGTGTGTGTGTGTGTGTGTGTGTGTGTGTGTGTGTGTGTGTGTGTGTGTGTGTGTGGAGGAGGAGGTGTCATGTGATGGTCATTATCAGCTGCCTGGATCAGTTCCTGGAATTGTTCTGGTGATGGTGGTGGCGGTGGGCAGTCGTCTGTGTCCCGGCTATATATTAGTGGCGACAGTTCCACACTCCGCCGCTGCTACCGCTCTCCTTGTGTTCCTCCCTCCTTCTCTCACTCTCCCTCTCTCCCTCCCTCCCTCCCTCCTCCTGGTACACCACGCCTACACTCCCATTACCATCATCACCTCCCACACTCACTATCATCATTTCCCCTCTACTCAGCTCCACACTCCACTTCTACCACCACCCTCCGCTGACTCCACTACCATGGTGGAGGAAGGGAGGAGTGTACGTGTGGCTGAGGGTGGGAGAAAGGTGGAGGGTGTGGTGTGGTGTGGTGTGGTGGAGGCAGTAAGGGAGGAGGATGTGGTGTGGTGTGGTGTGAAGGAGGATGTGGTAAGATGGTAGAGAAGAATAAACAGTGTGGGAGCCATTAGTGACGGGACTGTATGGTAGGTGGTCCAGCCCTGGATTCACCTAACGTTCATAATCTTATTTTGTTTTTCTTCTGTACGTGAGAGTTAAGAACACGTGATGGTGACCGACACGAGAACTAACTATTTTCTCTCATCTTCAGTTAACATCACCTTGAGTACGATGCCTTAACACCTTTAGTACGATTTATTAACACCTTAAGTGCGATGAGTTAACCACTTGATTACGCTAACCTAACCCCGGCCTTCAGTTTGATGACTTGAAGTGGTGAGTCCGTCATCTAACTCAAGTGGTTAAAAGGTAAAATAACACACACACACACACACACACACACACAGCAGTCATCTCGTGAATAATAACAAACTGTCTTTCACACACAATCCCGGAAACGATCACCGTGAGACGTAGTTACCTAACGCTTGCTAACTTTCCCACCTCTACCGTTAATGAGTTTTGTTGTTGCTTACTCACCTTATTGTTGTTGTTACCTGTGATTTCCTCTCTCACTAATTTAATGATGTTTGTAGGTGGCCTTCTTTGTATTCTATTTTATTGTGATGAGTTTTGGTGATTAACAAGGTAAATTAAAAATAAAGATAATTAAGATAATGAAATGAGTTTTATTTATTGTTTATGGTGATTCCAAGATGACAGATTACTTGTATATATTTATTATGATATTATTGTTGTTACGTATTTATTCTAAGTTAGAGGGTAAGAAGTGGAGGTGAACGGCTCCCAACACTTTAGTTAATAGAGTTGCAACCAGTGTTTACTTTAAGTGTGTCTTTCTACACTTTATCTTCTTTTAGTGTGTCAGGGGCGAGTTCTTCTGCCGAGCGAGTTAACAACACGACTAGTAACACAACGCACACACAGGACGCTCAGATTCCACTACTAAATATAGACCTGCGACGCCCCATTAAATAAAACATATAGTTACATTAGTCTCTCCCTACAATTACGAGTGTTTCGAACCTCAATTTCGTGTCGTTGTTCAGGTGAGTCAGGTAAATGAGTTCTCACCTTCAGTTCTGAGGAGGGGGGTGGGGAAGTTAAATACTGTATATCTGAAAGTTACAGGAACCCGAGTATTGGGTCCTGAAGTTTGGGGTTCTGTCCCGTTAAACTTTGCATCCACCAGCTAGGTTTATTTTGGCATTTAGTTTATCTTCTCTATCATACGTTATAAGACAGGTTTTTAATCCTGGTAGATTAATGTCGTCTGGTGTCGACATTTGTTTTCACGGGCACTGTACCGATGGACAAGTTTTTAGCACAACAGTAAATAGGAAAAAAAGAAGTGGATTATACCATCATCATCATCATCACTACCGTTATGGCGACTTGTTGGGTAACTCATCGTCTTCTGCCACCGATCAGCTGCAGCACGAATAGTCAGCAGCACATGGGCCTCTCCTGACACACTGACCCAACCTTACCTTTTATGATATGACCAGTGTTGTTTCCATACACCTGGCCAGTCATTAATTAAGGACAAAATAATGCCTTATCTTATCTTACCTTACCTTATATAATTTAATGGGTAAATAAACTTTAAAAAATACACTTGGTTGTTCAGCTTTTGTTCTCTTTATTGTTTGGGTAATTCCTTTTTGTCTGTTGCGATATTGTGGTGTAATTTTTCTCCTGTGGGAAATTTTCCTATTGGATTTTGTGTAATGGGATATATTGTGATGGGATTTCGTGGGAATGACTTAGACCAAACTGTCAATACTTAGTCGTGTGTACGTGATGATGACTGCTTCCCCTAGCGGCCTTTACGTGAACTAGTCCTGTAATGTGGTGAACGGCGAAAAGGCCACGGAAAAAAAAAAACGTAATTTTGGGCTAGGAAAAGGGTCAGGAAAAAATGTAAAGATCATGGCTAGTAAAAGAGTCTCAGGAAGAAAGCAAAAATTTTGGCTAGAATCACAGGAAAAAAGGTCAAAATTAAAGCTAGGATAAAAATCACCTGGGGAAAAAAGTCAAAATTTTGGCTAGGGGAAAAATCACCTGGGAAAAAAGTCCAAATTATGCCTCGGGGAAAAAAAGTAAGGGAAAAACAAGAAAATTTTTCCCTAATGGCTCTTCGCTGTACTCCTTGGGGCTTCTTGCATAGTTAGTCTGGCTATAAACACAAAATAGTGACTGTCCCGTTTATTGATACTGTCTCATTAAGCGGCTGGTGTGTGTGTCCGCTCCTGTTGCCTGGCTTCTCTGTTGACCCCGGGGCTAGTCAGGTCCACGTCCTGCTCCTGCTCACCCGCCTCTGTTTTCTTCATCCACCTCCATCTTCTTCATCCATCTCCACCTTCATCCGTGTCTCACTCGTTTTCACCTACCTCACTCGCCTCTCTCATCCGCCTGTTGCTCTCTCACCTCTCCCTCCTCCCCCACCTGTGCTCTCACCTCCCTTCATTCCCCCACCTGTTGCTCTCACCTCCCCTCCTCCCCCCACCTGTTGCTCTCCTCCCCTCCTCCTCCCCCACCTGTTGCTCTCACCTCCCTCCACTCCCCCACCTGTTGCTCTCACCTCCCCTCCTCCTCCCCCACCTATTGCTCTCCACCTCCCCTCCTCCTCCCCACCTGTTGCTCCCTCCCCTCCCCCTTCCTCCACCTGTTAACTCTCCCTCCACTCACCCACCTTACCTGCTTAATTGAACGTGATCCCAGCGAACTACCCTTACCTGCCAACTGTACACATCACCCGGAAGCTGCTGGTGGTGGTACACTACTAGCGAGCCGCGACACAGAGCTCGTGACGCACATAACTCCCCAGGTGATGAAATACCTGGGTCATATACCTTGGCAATACCTGGGTCATATACCTTGGCAATACCTGGGTCATATACCTTGGCAATACCTGGGTCATATACCTTGGCAATACCTGGGTCATATACCTTGGCAATACCTGGGTCATACCTTGCAATACCTGGGTCATATACCTTGGCAATACCTGGGTCATATACCTTGGCAATACCTGGGTCATATACTGGCAATACCTGGGTCATATACTTTGACAGTACCTGGGTCATATACCTTGGCAATACCTGGGTCATATACCTTGGCAGTACCTGGGTCATATACCTTGGCAATACCTGGGTCATATGCTTTGACAGTACCTGGGTCATATACCTTGGCAATACCTGGGTCATATACCTTGAGTACCTGGGTCATATACCTTGGCAGTACCTGGGTCATATACCTTGGCAATACCTGGGTCATATCTTGGCAGTACCTGGGTCATACACCTAGCAATACCTGGGTCATATACCTTGGCAATACCTGGGTCATATACCTTGGCAATACCTGGGGGTCATATACCTTGGCAATACCTGGGTCATATACCTTGGCAATACCTGGGTCATATACCTTGGCAATACCTGGGTCATATACCTTGGCAATACCTGGGTCATATACCTTGGCAATACCTGGGTCATATAGAAACCACCAAATGAACAAGAAAAATTAAATTACTTTGTGAATAATAATAATAATAATAATAATAATAATAATAATAATAATAATAATAATAATAATAGAAAACGCATTACAATTCCACTGCCGCTCTCCCCATGTACTTGTCTGCCAGGTACTGTTAAGTGTCCAGGGTAGTTTGTCTATAACGGTAATACTTCCATTTTAGCTTCATACCGAGGAATGGTCTTTGTCTCTGAGGATGACCACGAGACAGTACCGTAACTTATATACAGCTGATTGTTTTTGTTGTGGTTGTTATTATTGTTGTTGTTGTTGTTGTAAGGAAGTGTATATGTCATAGTTGTTGAGGTGTGAGTGCGTGGGTGTGATGAGTGTGTGAGGGAGGAGGGACTGCTGCCACACCTCTCCGTGATTGGTTCTCACACCTCAAGACGTGATGCACTCACTCACTCACATACTCACTCACTCACATACTCACTCACTCACACTCACTCACTTACACTCACTCACTCACTCACATACTCACTCACATACTCTCACACTCACTCACTCCCAGAAGCACAATACCTGCACTCTATACACATTACACAAGAACCGTAAGTCGAGGTGGCACTCTGGTTGTCAGCCCGAGGATACCGAGGCCGCCCCTGTTTCTGCCGTGTTAGCGAGGCCGCCCCTGTTTCTGCCGTGTTAGCGAGGCCGCCCTTGTTTCTGCCGTGTTAGCGAGGCCGCCCCTGTTTCTGCCGTGTTAGCGAGGCCGCCTCTGTTTCTGCCGTGTTAGCGAGGCCGCCCCTGTTTCTGCTGTGTTGGCGAGGCCGCCCCTGTTTCTGCTGTGTTAGCGAGGCCGCCCTGTTTCTGCCGTGTTAGCGAGGCCGCCCCTGTTTCTGCCGTGTTAGCGAGGCCGCCCCTGTTTCTGCCGTGTTAGCGAGGCCGCCCCTGTTTCTGCCGTGTTAGCGAGGCAGCCCCTGTTTCTGCATTATTAACCCAGGGTGCAGCGGATGTACAGTATTAATTATTCCACTTTTACAAATTTCAACTCATGTGTTAAGACCATTATGTGTTTCAGCTGGTCGTGTAAAGTTCCGTGTTGTTTATAGCGATTCTCGTTGTTAGTTTGTGGAGTCTAAGATTACCAGCGTTTCTGTATGTACTTCTCACCCGCTATACCTACATCAGAATATACCTGAGTGTGAAACATAGTGATAATTAGGACGTGCAGCTGTAACCTTAATTAGTTAGTAGTTTAGCTGGCATTGTTTGTAAATGTGGTGGTGGTGGTGGTGGTGGTGGGGAGGAATGGGGGTCGGAGGGAGCTGCCTGAAGTGTGGTTATGAAAGGGGCGGGGTAGGGGGGGGGGAGTGGATTACAATACGCGTTCAGTTGCTTAATTAAAGTTCACCATCTTGATCACCAGTAATGGCCTCCCTCAGTCAGCCACCTAATATAAATTCATTCTTGACGCAGTAGCCGCCTCTCTTCCTTTACTACCACCGTAGATTTCTTCACCATTGTTTCGGCAGTTCGGAGGATTTGGCAGGCAGGTACGGGGAGCCAGCAAGAACCAGTGTAGTGATGTGACGATGATAGGGACGACGGTATCCAGTAGAGGGGACACGAGTGTTTGGTCGTCATCCAGGATCATAATAGGATTAATATTGTATGTATAGTAATGTGAGTCCTCCACGGATTACCCACTCGGGACTCGACTAGGAGCCCGGAGTTTGAAGAAAGAACTTTACCGGAACAAAAAATATGGTGACATATTTCGGAGTCTCTTAGCGGTGGATTCAGTTTCCTGTTGTCATTCATTATACAGGAATCATGAAAGGTTTGACAAGGTTAGAGGCAGCGAGACATAAGGGCCTGTTAACCTGGCTCTTGGACGAGATAAAAAGTAATTCGCGTTTTTATTCCCATTAACTTGTCTTCCTAATTGTTTATTACATGTATCTCCTCCATCTTCTTCCCCACCGAGTGTGTTTGTCGTTTGGTCTGTACAGTATATATATTTGTGGATACATTTTGGAATGTTTTTATAGGTGTGTGTGTGTGTGTGTGTGTGTGTGTGTGTGTGTGTGTGTGTGTGTGTGTGTGTGATAAGGCCACATTATTTGGGTGTGCCGACTGCCTCTGGAGAATGTGTGTTAACTTGATGCGGTCTGTAGTGTGGTGTGGTGTAGTGGAGGTGTGTCACCAGGGAAGGTTGTGGTTGTGGGTGATCCGTATCACTTAGACATGACGGATGTGCACATATGTAGGTATTACGGGAATTAATGTGTTGTGTGGGCCATCATCGGCCAGTTGTGTGCTCACCATCACTCTTGCTGCCCACTTCCATAAATCTAAGTAATTGTTGTGGGGTAATAAGTAAGTAGGATCCTCCGAGTTGGACTGCTGGAGGAAGAGTAAAGTGTGGTGGACCCCAGGAATGTGATGATACAGGAACCCGACAATTGGGATGTTAGACAGCTTCCTGCATGTCCCTGGCTTAGTGGCAGTAATGGAGGCCGCGCAGTTCTCAGTGACCAAGGCACCACGCCCCCCCCCCTTCCCCGGTGTCCACCAGGAAGTCATATTTGAGATAATTTACTACAGTTGACTCTGCTTTTCCCTTTGACAAATGATTTAACCACTAACGGGTCATTTTCTCCTCAAGGGTAGAAGGTAGTTGAGGTGTAGAGTAGGTCGGCGGGTAGAGTTAATGGTGAGGGCGGAGTTGACAGCCATGTTGCACACCGTCTTGTATGTGAGGAACCACCACCTCCTCGATCCATCAAGCAACGTGTCAGGCTGGAGCGGCATCCCTCCCCTCCTCCGTCATCACCAACGGCGGCGAATGATTGGATCACGACCACACACACTGGACGTCTCTCTAATTAATAAAACGCTTTGTCTTGGCTGTAATGGTCATGTTGTCAGTCAGGGAGGTTGGTCGCTGACCCACCTTACCATTGAGGACAAGAACACCAAGGATCATCTTACAGGGGTGCCTGGTGACAGCACTAGGATCCCGTTTCCTCCATCAAGGAATAGAATATTGAAATTGACTTGAGTCATCTTACTGCTTATGGCCGGTCAGTCACTCACTCAGTCTGGGGTTATAACAATAATTGGTATAATTAGTGGTGAATTTCAGCTGATTAGATTAATAACAATCGCTTAGTTATTTTATTAAGATATAAACATTAACGTTATCAACAGACTGATTTATTTTTACTTTCGTTGGAGAATTTTTTTGTATATATATATATATATATATATATATATATATATATATATATATATATATATATATATATATATATATATATATATATATATATATATATATATATATATATATATATATATATATATATATCAAAAAAAAAAAAAAAAAAAAAAAAAAAAAAAATATATATATATATATATATATATATATATATATATATATATATATTTTTTTTAAATGATAAATAAATCTTGATAAAATCACACGGGAAAATGGAAACAACGGAGTACCTTAGCTTTCGTCTTTATTCAAGACATCTTCAGAGGCAACTGGATTACATGGACAGAGAGAGGCTTAAATATACAGGGTGACCTAAAAACATGAGGTCAGGTCATAATGATGACATCCACTAATCCCCACACCAACATACACGTAGAGGAGCTTAAGAGAAGGGTGATGACGTGACTAGACAGGTCAGGTCAGAAAAAAGGGACCCACAAAATAACTATCATACATCAAGATCAAAGGTTTTCAAAGCATTTTTAACCTTGGGCCACTGACAAATAAATTTATGTAACATATTATCAGTTTTGAACTGACCATCACTAAGGTTTATTGATTTTAATTCCTTAATCAAACTAGCTTCAACCAGAAGTCTTTCTGTGACACAAGATGATTTGAATACTTCTAAGCTTTTTTCCCAAGCAATGGGGTGATTATTATTCCTAACATGAACGAAGAAGGCACTGCTTTCAGATGCAGTTCTGATATTATACTTATGTTGTTTGATTCTGAGCTGCAGTGTTTTTCCTGTCTGACCTACATAATTACAATTACATTTGCTACATGGAATACAATAAACACTTCCATTTACATTCAAACTTGGGCTATTTTTTTCTGACCTGACCTGTCTAGTCACGTCATCACCCTTCTCTTAAGCTCCTCTACGTGTATATATATATATATATATATATATATATATATATATATATATATATATATATATATATATATATATATATATATATATATATATGAGTTCCATTGTTCATATTTAATTAATTCGTCACGTGTGGTACAGGTGGTGGGTGATGGCTCTTAATATTCAACCAACATATTACCAGGAAATTTTACCGTTATTCTGAGACAGAATTTTTTTTTATATTGTTCTCTTGTAACAGTTGAATCATGATGATCTGCGAGTGTTGTAATGCACATAACTAGGCAGGCAACCTTGTATGTGGTGTGTTGGGTGGTCGAGGCATCAACACAACACCTGCTGTACTCTCTGCTATTATAGTTTATTGGTTCTATTTATTATCAAGACTCTGAGGACTAATACAGACCGAAGTAGGTGTTTGTTCTCGTCTGCTGTTGGAGTGAGTAAAGGGTGTAGGGTCGTGAGCCGCTCTCCACATGTTGATGCCCAAACTTCCTGACCGTGTGCTACCTAAGTAGATGTTCTCCTTCTGTATCAAGAGAAGGGTAATGTGTGTCTCAAGATGGTGGTAGGGTGTACACTACGGGGAGGACCAGCCGCCGTGTGTGCGCACTTCAGGTCCTCTACCTGTTACCATCCTGGTCCCTGACCCCTGAAATATCATTAAGTCTTAAATAAATGTTACTTAAACAGAAGATTTATGAATGTGTGTAAACTGATGTCTAACGTTAAGAAACTAAGATGGCGACCGAACTGTCTTCGCCAATGTACTGGTAGTTATCCTAACGAGGTCAAATACATTGTTTTGTCTCCCGCCAGGAGCAAATAATTCACAGTAAACTTTACGTGTGTGAGAATTTGTACTCTATAATTTCATGAACAGAGACTTAGCTTCAGGTCCATGGATCACTACCTACCTGAGACTTGAATTTACTCTACCTTATAATACTGTATATAGTCAAAACTGTAATCACTAATTAACTATTTTCTTTTTTGCAGGTAAGCGTGTTTTAGCCCTGGCCCTGACATGGAGAGGAACGGAGGCCGGTTGTGCCCACTGTAAGTACAACCTTCCTCACTCTGGTGTGTTTATGTAAAACTGATATATAATTGATATGTCATCTGAATGTTCTTCAAGTAACATTCGAACCTACCACATTGTTGATGCTTGTAGAATGTGTTAGAAGGAATGAAACATGTGCAGTTGAACTAAATTTAGAAACAGTGAGCGTGTAGCAGTATGTTGTCTCGTGTGAAGTATTCCCGCGATAAAGTTTTAGTGGCTCCTTTGTGGGCGGTGTTGTGTTGTGAGGGACGTGGGAATAATGCGCATTGCATCACTTGTTGTATCGAGTGATGATGGTGGTGCTGTGGCTGCTGATGGAAGCCTTGGCATGTTTCACCTCCTTAAAGGTTATGTTTTATTATGTTAAACACCGGCCGCCGACAACAAGATTGGTAGACTTTAAAACTGGTGGGTAAGTGTTAATAATCTCAGGTGTTGGTGGCGAGTGTGTGGTGCTCCTCGCCACCAACACCTCTCTTTATCATTACTTCAGCCACCACTACAAATAACTGATCCATCCAGCTATGCGTCGCCTTTTCCACCTCTCCTCGCTACAGTCTCCGCAAATACGGTTTTACCCTCAATTACTCTCACCGTACAAATCATATACCCACCCTAATCACCGCCCTGGACCATTGTTTGGCAGGTATAAAGGGTGTGATCAGTGACGGCCGCGTGCGTGCTAGGGGACGCTACCTGCTCACAGTATACTCTAGTTCTGTTAACCATCTCCCACCCTCCCTCCACATGTCGTTCGCTGGGCGCTCTGGTCAGGCATTCAGTTGTATTGCTGTGGTAATAACTCGCCTCAGCCAGCACGTGTCTTTTGTGTTAGGAGCATTACTCACACCATGTTGACGTGTTTGTGTGCGTGACACCAGTGTTTATGTCAGATCCCTTCCTAGGTGTTTTTTCTCCCACTTGACTGCCTGAATTTTTTTTTTCTAGACAGTTGCTAAAAATGTTTGTGATTTTACACGGTCTCCCTCAAAAGGGGCTCCTCTCTTACCACGAGGTGTAATCGAGTGCCACATTTAACAGTTGAAGAAGTAAAGGCAGTCGAGTGTAGTGCCCAGTCAAACTGATGCCTTGTGTACCGAGGGTTTGGTATGAGTATATCGTGTGCCGCATTCTCACTGCCTCTATTGATTTCCTGTTCACTAATTCACCCACAACCAAACCCCTCTTTAACGTAGCGTATAGATCAAGTAGGTCACTCTTTGGTATATTTTGGCATCATTCAAATTATTAACTTGTGGTTAAGTAATGTCTGGTTAGCTTGCCATTTAACACAGTCGTTATGAGTAATGCTTTTAAGTTCTAAGGTTGATACAGTCGACGTGCAGTAATATCTTGCTGGGTTTGACTAATGGATCATGTGTTTGAAGCCAATTATATTCGGTCTGAGGAATATCTGCCGGTGAGGTTGAACTGCTCCTGTACAGTCGTTGTAAGTAAGTAGCTTTTGAATTGGTGGTAGCCTAGAGGGAGTGGGAGGGGGTAGGGTGTGTAGTGCGTGATAAATAACAAGATAGCGGGTCGTAAATTGTTAATGAATGTTTGGGGGAGGGATACCGAGCGTCGCCCACCTCCCTGCCTTCCGGAGGTGGTGGTGGGTATAGTGATGACAGTACTCCTCTCTCGCACACTCCACTTTACTTATACCTCGCACACATTCCACCCCTCTCCCCATCCCCTACTCCCCTCTCCCCCCACCCCTCTCCACCTCTTCCCCCCCCCATATATCTTCAATGTTGGGGAACAAATTTTAGAGTTCTATTATAATGGACGAATAAGATTAGTGAGTTCTCATAATAATAATTACAAATGATAACCGGAAATAGTTTGTCAAGTAGTTATTCAGTTAGGCGTTGAAAATGTTTTTTAGAGCTGATAAATACCTCAGCCGTGGGTTCTACGAGTTACAAGTAGCAGTAAATGTGTCGAATTCTGTTGTGTGGAGTATGTTGAGGCTGCTTCACTCATCTCTCTCTACATGGCTACAGATTTTCCTATTACAGACGTCATATAATTGGTAAGTTATCGATGCAGTATCCAAAGAATTTACGTCTTCAGTGATCTGTACAATTTACTTAACTGGTGATGGGAAGATTTTTGAAGGCTTACTGTCTGGTATTAGTTGTTCTAGGAAATGGACTGTAATGTGATAACAACTGGTTTTGTGAAGGTGAAGTATGTAGGAAGGCAATAGTTTGAAATAGAATGGCGGCAAATGGCCATCTTGAGGATAATGTTTAGAGAAAAATGGTGGGAAAGGAAAACAAAGAATACAGCGTACAGAGGTTGAGGGGGGGGGGTGGTGAGGGGAAAGTGTATGATGTGTGGATATTACAGGGTTGTATTAGTGAGGAGGAGAAAGTCGTGTAAAGGAACTTGGTGAAAAAGATATCATACCGGACCTGACGAAGGGGGTAAATGAACCGTCCGTGGATCTGTGTGTGTGTGTGTGTGTGTGTACAGGGTTGGTATACAGAGGTGTGAAAGGCTGTGATTTGGGGATATTGTGTTTAGTGTTTCTGAATCGCTTGACAGAAGGTACCCAGAATGTTGTTGTCACTAGAACGTTGTTATGTTGTCACTAGGACGTCGTTATGTTGTCACTAGGACGTTGTTATGTTGTCACTAGGACGTTGTTATGTTGTCACTAGGACGTTGTTGTATGTTGTCACTGGACTTCGTAATGTTGTCACTAGGACGTCGTTATGTTGTCACTAGGACGTTGTTATGTTGTCACTAGGA